ACTTGTCCTCCAGACCCCCCACCAGCTCCGTTGCCCTGACATGAAGCAGCGGGGGAGTGATCCCACACACCTCACGCCACCTCATGGCAGGATCCGGCCCAGCCGCCGCTTCGCCAGGAGCCACACAGCCCACACCACCGCTGTCAGCAAGCCTGTGGCAAACCCCAGATGGGCCCGCCAAGCAACACCTCGGGCTCATGGACCCTCCTGGGTGCCAAGAGCATCTTTGTCCCTTTCAGGGCAACCCCCAGAGCCCCCCCAACAGTACGGGAGCCGGAGCTGGGCAACAAGCACAGGCACCCGCTGTCCAACAGACACCCACCGCCTTACCAGATTGCAAGATTCAAAAACAAAGTAAAAAAAAAATAATCCCCCAGGCTACACTGAATTTCAGCCAGCAGCGCAGTGGGTGCCCATCCTGATGGTGTTCCATCCCTCCCAGGGCAGAGCGGCCGCCCCGAGCCCTGCACCGTCCGCACCTTAACCCCCCGATCACACAGCGATTGTGTCAATGTGTTTATTACAATCATCCGGTGCATGAAGCGCTTTGGACTTCACAGGGAAACGAGCTGTGGGACACACACAAAACTATCCCAGGAGAAGGCAGATGCGGTTGGTCTGCCGCTGCCCACAGCTGGGACCGGGACGGCAGCCCGGCTCGCGAGGAAGCGTGTCCCCCCCCGACACAGCCATCTCCCAGCACCACATCCCTCACAGGGAAATCACTGCACGCGAGAGAAGAGCGCGGGTACTCACTTGATCTTCAGGCTGGCGAGCATCGTCTTGTCGATCCTGGGGAGAGAGCAGAGGAGTGTGTTACTGCGGGCACAGGGGATCCGGGCGCGAGGGGAGGGCTGTCCCTCCTCCCGACTCGGGTACCGGCGCTGCAGGCAAACCTGGCCTCAGCATCACTCCGGCTGACAGGATGATCACCACAGAAAGAATTGACCAGAAAACAAAATCAGCCAAAGTTTACCCCAAAGTGAAGCCTGGCGGCACATAAAGCTGAATCCCCCCAGTTATTCCCGGTGGTGACCAGTGGAGAACTGCTGCCACCTCACCTGAAATGCCAGAAGTGAACTGGGCAGCAGAGGAAGGCATTGCCCATGTCCACGCTCTCTCCAAAGTGCAGTTCCCACCTCCCACGAAACACATATTTAAAGAGGATGGACCCGAGGAAGACCTGACACACTGGGAAGGTCACCCCAAACCCCGAAATTCGACCCAGAAGCCCAGTCCGAGGGGGAAGGAATAAGGATACAGCGATGCGCGGGATTTTCCCACCTGGCCGGTCGCTGCCTCGCTGCGTGAGCTCAGGCTCATCCCTGCACATGCCCTTCCCGGGCCCCGGCCGCTGACTGACCCTCCGCCTGCAGCCGCTGCGACCACCCGCACCCGCGCAGAGAGCCCCGGACGGAGGGGACACAGAGCAGCCCCATCGCTCCCAGCCCCGGCCAGCTTGTGTGGGACTGGCAGCCCCAGTCACTTCACTTACATATTTGGCACCATTAATAAGTGCCGACCGCCACAGAAATATTGTGGCTAAAGCCATATTAATATTAATTAATGCAAATCATAGTAATGTCTCAAAAATGCAAAATGATGTCTTTTGGCAGTCAGTGCAAATGCTCAGTTATCTGCCACATGGAATTAATTCCACATCTCTAAAAAAAAAAACCAAACCAAAACCAACCCCCAAAGACCACCTTCCCCCCGCCAAACCCCGCTCGTTTAGCACTGCGATCACAGAGGACACGGCAAGGCTGCAGAAATGCAGTTTCCCTCTCCTCACAGCGTTACCTCCCTCCGCTCCCAGGCTGAACTTCTCCATCACAAGGAGGCTGCACCCGTGGGTGACGCAGCGGGGACGGATCCCCGGCGCGCCGTGCCACCGGCTGAGCCGGGCAGACACCGGGGCAGATGCAGCAGGAACCCCATGTGGGGTGTCCCCGCTCCCCACGGACGAGGGCAAAGCCACCCCGGGTGAACCCTGGCACCTCCTGCCCCCCCTGCCTGCACGCACCATCCCTGGGGCCCTCTCTCAGACCGACATTTCACACGCAAAACCCCGAGGCCACGGGAACATCATTCCCGGCATTTCCCCAAACATCATCTCCCGTGCTCCGCTCCCGGGGAGCCAACACGCTGCTGCTCCTACAAACAGACCCAGGGCACCCGCTGTTGTCCCTAAATATTTAACAAGCCTGTCCACAGACCTTGTTGATTGTTATTAAAATCAAGTTGCACGTTAAAGCTAGCATAAATAGCTGTTGCCAAACTCGGTGGCAGACACAGACGAACCACAGGGACAGTGGGTGGCTGGGGCAGCCCCGGTGGGGCCCGGCCCGGAGCG